TGCAGTGCATGTGCTCCCAGGGAGGTTTGCATTTGGTGGATGATGAGATGTGGGTCTTGGAATCGAGAATGTATAAGTGAGATTTTGGATTTAGAGTTGATGCTGAGATGATTGAGTCTTTGGGGGATGCTGGGATTGGGCGAATGTATTCTGCATATGGGACGGATATGAATTTGGTGGGGGGGTCGCAGGGTGGACTGTTATGGGTTGAATTGTTCCCTCCTCCAAAAAAAAGATAGGTCTGGTACCTCAGAATGTAACTTTATTTGGAAATAGAGTCTTATGTGGAAATAGAGGTTGTTGAGTTAAAATGAGGTCATTAGAGTGGGCTCTAATCCAGTATGCATATTAAAAGGGGGAATTTGGTCACAGAGACCCCCCCAGGAGAGTCTGTCAGGAGGTCAGTGCCTGAGCCTCTTCTAGAATCTGATAATACTGGAAAACAGGCAGATTTTGCAGCCAGAAAGTCCCAGCTACAAATTCTGGCTCTTTCACTTACACCATGAGCTTGGGCACCCAATACGTAAAAACGGAACACTTAATACCTTTCTCAGGGTTACTGTAAGGCTTACCCAAGACTGTGTGTAAACCACGCAGCACAGAGAAGCCCCTGGGGATGTGGGGGCTCTAATGGCTATCTAGGATTAACATGCTGTGGACTTACAGCCTGAAGATGCTCTTTTGCCCATGTGGCTACCACTAAGTGGGAATGGGATGTAGAGGCTCTCTGTGCACCCCCTAATATTACAGAAACCAAAGGACTGTGCGGCCCGCCCAGCCTGCTGCCACCCGAGGCCCTGAGAGCCAGGCCAGGTGTCCCTGGCCAGCATCCCTGCTGTGCTGGCTCCCCCGGTTTCTCTCAGGCCCTTTGAGGAACTCTCCAGAAGATGCTCACGGGAATTAAACATTATTCTCACTGCCATCAGAGAGATCCCCACCAGCCAGTTGCTAGCTAATTTGGGGTGATCTTGACCTTGTTGAGTGTCCCCAATCCAGGGGAGTCAAGGCAGCTTTGGAAGAAAAGCTCAACAGGCAAGACAGGGGAGGGCCCCCCACTCAGTCCTGGGGGAGCCACAAGTCTTGCCTCCTTAGCTCCTCTGTGCCTGCCCCTTGTCCCATCTGATAGCAGAGCCTGGCCCGATGTTCCTGGGGACCTGCAAAAACAAACATCTCAAGGCTTCTAAATAAACGATTCCATTTTATACCTAGTAGCATTGTAAACATGCAGCTCCAAAGTCTCCAAGAAAGACTTGAGGACACTTTCTGTTCCTAGATGGGTCTCAGATAACCAGGAGCAGCCGTCGTCCAGATGACTTCCTAGGTACCCATGTGAGAATCGGGACCTGTGAGCACATAAGTAGTGGGTCTCATGGGACCTAAAACGACTGCCAGGGAGAGGGCGCGGGATCAGAGACGGCACATGGGGCACGCAGGGGCCTGGGTCTGCAAGCGTCTCTGCAGTGACACATTCATGAGAACTTATGAAAATAAGAAAAGACCTGAAAACGCCTCAAATACTGGTTCCGCACACAACGCCTTTCCCGATTGCCTGCTCACCTCGTTGTCCTGCTCCAGAAAACAAAAAACCCGAATTCTACCTGTCCTTCCCTTCTTCAATTCTGTGTATTCTCAGAGAGGCAGACCAGAGCAGGAGACTCAGTGCCTGCATGCCCTGTTGTCCCCTGCCTGTATCTTCCTGGTAGTCTCATCACCCTCCGAGACATGCCCAATACTATCACAGATCTCAGCCAGACTCTGAGGCGAGTAGACATTTATCCACCTCATGGTTCCCAAACATGGCCTGACCAGGATCACGATGACTAGTGAATGCAGGAACCCGAGATCTGGGACCCCTCATGTCACAGAACCTAAGGCTCAGAAAGCTTACATGACCGCTCCAAAGTCACAGCACTAGTGTCTTCCAAGGTCATGGTGCTAGGCTCTTCCAAGTTCATGTTTCTAGGCTCATCTAAGATCACAGTGCTAGGCTCTTCCAAGGTCACAGCACTAGGCTCTTCCAAGGTCACAGTGCTAAGCTCTTCCAAGGTCACAGTGCTAGGCTCTTCCAAGGTCACAGTGCTAGGCTCTTCCAAGGTCACAGTGCTAGGCTCTTCCAAGGTCATGCTTCTAGGCTCTTCCAAGGTCACAGCACTAGGCTCTTCCAAGGTCATGCTTCTAGGCTCTTCCAAGGTCACAGTGCTAGGCTCTGCCAAGGTTACATTATTAGGCTCTCCCAAGGTCATGGCAGTAAGTTCTTCCAAGGTCACAGCACTAGGCTCTTCCAAGGTCACTGCCGTAGGCTCTGTGAAGGTTATGCTTCTAGGCTCTTCCAAGGTCACAGTGCTAGGCTCTTTGAAGGTCACAGCACTAGGCTTTTCCAAGATCACTGCTCTAGGCTCTGCCAAGGTTATGCTTCNTTCTCTTTCATTTCTAGGACTTTGTCTATGCTGTTCCCTCTGCCTGAATGCTTTTCCCTCCCGACCCCTTCTCCTGGCTGACTTCATCCTTCAGACTTGGACATCAATTCCTCCTCCTCCCGGGTACACCCGAGGCTGGGCGTGAGCCCTCCGTGTGTGTTGCCATCTCATTCCACACTTCCCTGTCTTAATGCTGAGTGCCTCTTGTTATAATTACCTGCTACACGGGCAGCGATGTTCTACCAGCTCAACTGGCCTGGGTGGCATTAGCATCACAGTATGGTTTTTATTTTCTTTGCATTAATTGAAATCCAAATTTGAGTCTGTATTCCACTGTATTCCACCCAGGGAATGGTCTGCTCCATGCTTTCTCCAGTGTGGTCTTCTTGCACCTCGGTGCTCTGCCAGGGACCAGGGCACAGTCCTCGCTCCTGGGAGGCACAGATGTCCACCCCCGCTCCATGGGAGGACACCAGCAAAAGCCCTCCCCCTACATCCCCACTTCTCTTCAGTGACTCAGGCTGTCAAAAATAAAGAGATGCTGTCTTTGCTTAGCTTCTCCTCTGGGCTTTGCCAACACCGGTGGAGCAAAGAAATGTGGAAAACCCAGACACATTGTGAGCAGGGAAACATCTAGGGAGAACAAACACAGTTATCTCAATAAACTGTCATGCTGGGATTATCTGGATCCCCAAAGGCATTCCCAGGACCTAGTGCCTCGTGTGCAGTGTATAATTCATCAGAATTTGGACAAAAAAGTGAACGTTGGATCTTGGCTTCCTTTGGCTGCCATGTAGGGTTTAGCAGGTTGCGCACTGCACAAGTCTAGAAGATTCCATTCAGACAGATTGGATTATTGATCAAGACAGTTTTCTGGCAGATGTTTTGTAAAGCATCTTGGAAAGGGGGAGCTTTTTTCTAATTTGTAGGAATTTGTCTGACCTAGTGGTGTCCCTGACTAAGGCCTCTATCTTTTTCTATATTTTCTCATTAAATTCCTTAAATGCAACAAATGGTAAAGTATAAGAAGCAAAATATTGAGGAATCAAGATCACTTTTTGTCTGATTTAAATACTGAGAGGTATTTTTGACTCTCTTAGTCCACATGAACCACATCCAGGAGCTTAGTAAAAATGAACTGCCGAAGACTAGGACATAAAGAAGAGAAATTCAGAATTAAATCCTTCCTGCCCAAAGTTCAGTCCAATTCAATATGCAAAAGCATTGTTAATACCATGCCTGCATAATGTGTGCTTATTTGTAACTCTGAGTATTTGTAGGTATTTATAGGTAACCTGTTCTAGAATATGATTGTTTTTTTACAAAGTTTCTTCATCTCTTTCTTGATGCAACCTGAACCTGCACTAATGTTGAAAGTGACCTTTTCTGCAGCCTGACTAAAGTAGCTTGCATCTATATGCAGACAGTTATCAAAGGACTCATTTGTGCTTTTAAATCAAAGAAAATACTCACCAATTGTTTTTATTTTTTTTATTACAGATCACATGGCAAAGGAGCCTGTGGAAGACACAGACCCTAGCACTTTATCCTTTAACACGGTAGGTCACAAGTTTTGCATTAATGGTGATGATTCTTGTTTTGCTTTTTAAAAATTTCTTTACATTTTCAGTACTCAGTATTTACATGAGGATCAGAAACCCTAAAGTGAGATTTTCCTCTGATAAACTTCTTTATCTCGATATTCCCTGTAACAATAATAAACTTTGGGTTTCTCCAGGCTGAAAATGGGGTTAGATTCTTTTCTCGTTTTTGCATGTACCAGAAGTGATCTTCTTAGTTTATGTGAGGTCTGGCGGCTTGTCTATTTTTGATACTGTTGGTCCAGCCTGAGCCACCTATGTGTCACACAGACACACGCTAATATGGCATTTAATCCCAGCAT